CCAGGAAAATACAGGCAGAAGGAGTGGGAGCAGCTGTGTCTGGAGGGGAATTCCTTCCTGGCACCTGCAAGCGATTGCCTGAAGCCATGAGATGGGAGATTTAATTTTAAACAGAACTTTTCCATGGTCAGAGAATTTCTTTTCCCTCCTCTCTTGCCCATGGACATGGGTGGAAGTTTGTGCAGAATCACAGACCCCAAAGACAAAGGATCATGGAGATTGAATGTAGGATTTTAACAGAACTACAGAACCATTTGGGATGGATTTGGGCTGTGGTAGCTACTCTGTGCAGTTTAAAAGCCATGGAATCATGGTCTGGGTTGGAAGAGATCCTAAAATTAATCCAGTGCCACCCCTGCCATGGACAGGGACACCTTCCACCAGCCCAGGGTGCTCCAACCTGGCCTTGGACACTCCCAGGGATCCAGGGGCAGCCACAGCTTCTCTGCCCAACCTGTGCCAGGGCCTGCCCACCCTCCCAGCCAGCAATTCCTTCCCAATCTCCCATCTCTCCCTGCCCTCTGGCAGTGGGAAGCCATTCCCTGTGTCCTGTCCCTCCATCCCTTGTCAATGGTCTCTCTCCATCTTTCCTGTAGCCCCTTCAGGTCCTGGAAGGTCACAATTTGTCACCCCAAAACTTCTCCTCTCCAGGCTGGACAATCCCAGCTCTCTCCCCTCTCCTCCCAGCAGAGCTGCTCCATCCTCTGCCCATCCTGGGGCCTCCTCTGGACTCTCCAGCAGCTCCCTGTGCTGGGAATGTTTAACCTACAGGGCAGAGCTGTCACAGCCCTCAAACCCTTGCCAGGTTCACACCTGCAGGAACGAGAGATCCTTGAGCATCCAAAGCACTTTTTGTTTAAAATGGTGCTTTCACAGTCGGTTCCTGCAGTGGGAGCCTTCCCACACAGCTCTGGGACAGCTACAGGACCTGCAGCCTCCCTCAGTCCCCCCCTCAGTGTCATTCCATTGTCACAGAGTCCTCCTATTTCCCTTTATTTTCTGAGGGATCCAAACCTTTTTTATCCCAACATCCCCCAGGCTCTGCTGCCCCCACTCCTGACAGCCCCCCTCGCTGTGCTCTGGTTCTCAGGGTGCTGCTGCTCCTGAGAACAGCACTAATATCCCATTTGCATCCCCAGCTCCTCTCAGGCAGCCTCATTATTCCCAAACATTGAACAGACTCCCAGGGATGCTTGTTCCCTGCCATGCTGGCCCTGATGTTCCCCAGACTGGATCAAATGGAAAATGCCAGGCTGCACTTTCACTCAGGTACACCCATAAATAAGTCTCTTTAATTAAAAACAGCTCTTGATTTTTATTTCTTCTTTTTTTTTTTTTTTTTTTTTTTTTTTTTTACATCAAGTCTTTCTTATCTTTCAAGTGGTCCACATTCCCTGGGAGCTCCAGATTATTATTCCTGTGTGTTCAGGCCCAGCAGGGAACAGGACTTGCACTGAGAAGGCTCTTGCTGGGAGAGCAGCAGGACCTATAATGCCAATTAGGACGAGGTTTAGAGGGATTTAAGCCTCAGTCAGTCCCTTCCAGAGCCTGCATGTGGGATGCAATTACCCCCATCAGCAATGGAGGCCATTTAGGACCAGGGGTTTTGAATATTTTATCCATTTAAGCAAAACAGGGCTTGGATTTGCCCAATTTCTCTCTTTGTGCAAGGAAAAGTGAGTCTGGGGACATCACTGACCCTTGGAAGGGTCTGATCAAGGCTATGAAATCAGGAAAAGGTGCAGGAGAACACCAGTGATGTCCACAAGGGAACTGGAGGAACAGCAGTTCCATTCCATTCCATTCCATTCCATTCCATTCCATTCCATTCCATTCCATTCCATTCCATTCCATTCCATTATTTCTTCCCAGCAGGTATCTGCCTGTGGGATCTCATGGGAAAAAAGTGGGAAAATGCAGACACCTTCCTCTATCCCAGGTTGCTCCAAGCCCTGTCCAGCCTGGCCTTGGACACTTCCAGGGCTGGGGCAAAACCTGAACCACGAGCCCAACTTTCTCTCCAAGCGTTTTTCCTGGCTGGAGTTTTTGGTGGCCACTGAATCTCCCCCCCCACTCAAGAAATATTCCCTCCAGACTCCCCCTCCCAGGGGAGCAGGAACAAAATGACCTTTTCTGGTGCCTCAGTTCCCCAGAAAATCCCACCACGTTTAAATAAACCAGTTTTCATTATGATCTCCACTGCCCTCCCAGCCCCTTTAAATGGGACACACATTCCAGGACTTATTAAAATGAGAGGACTGAGAGGTAAAAACGACTCCCAGAAGGGTTGTGTAATCCGTGTTCCCTGAGGAATTAGGCTGAAAATGCCAAGTATTACTGAGCACAGCAGAAACACACATTTTTGCTGCCCCCCCAAATAAATTGGGACTTAGATCCCTCATCAGAATGTCATTTTTGAGCTATTTTTTATTAATTTTCACAGCCTAATTAAGGAATATGAGAGAAGCCATTGTGCTCTGGTGGGATTAGAGCAAATAACGGGGATTATGAAAGGCCTGGAGCCACTCCAGTAATACTTTAATCCCTGCAAATACACCCCTGTCCTCCTGGCATTAAGGAAAATGAGGCAACATGCCAAAAAAAACCCCTCCAACATGAATAAAAAGCATTCCCTAGGGAGACAAATCTGACAGTCCTGGCAGCTTGACATGTTGTGCCACTTCAGAAGACAACAGCTCTCCAAAAATAAGCAGCTGTTTAGGATCAGACACTGCATGTTCAGTCCATCCTACAGGTTAGGCTTGGTCCCAGCTCGTGTTAGTCTGGAATGGCCCCATTCCCACAGGTAAAGTTCCCAAAGATCAGTTCAAATCTATCCATCAGGCTTAATGCTGGTGGTTTTGGGGAAAACAGTGCAAAAATCAAACATTTTTTGCATAGATGTGTCCAGCAACTTCCACAGATCTTTATGGAGTGGGGTGGGGTGGGGTGGGGACAGTGAGGATCCAGTTTTGGTCCCCGAGGGAGATGAGAGACAGGGTGGAAACTGCAGGGAATGCTGCAGAACATCTCTGGGGTGTGAACACAGGTAAATAACCCAGGGTGTGCCAATTGTACTCCCAGATCAGGCTGGACAGGGCTTGGAGCAGCCTGGGACAGGGGGAGGTGTGGCACAACCAGGGGGTGGCACTGGCTGGGCCTTGAGTCCCTTCCAACCCAAAGCAGCCTGGGATTCTGTGGTTCTACCAGAAACAAGCACAAAGCAGGCTGTGTCCACACCCCGTGGGATGTGCCCCTGGGGCTCCTCTTGGCCCAGTGTGGAGCCAGGGTCTCATTCCCACCAGAGAAGGGGGAGCAGCTCAATGTGTAACAAAGAAAGTGCTTCACCCCATCCCTCAACACCCCTGGACAAGGACATGTGGAATGGTTTCAGGGTCTGAGGTCCAGGATTTTTTTCAGCTGAAAAAAAAAGAGACCATTCCTTTTTAAGAGACCTTTTCCTGTTGGTTTTTTTTTAAGCAGTGAATTCCAGAGCGCTGCTGTTCGTCACCGTCTGCGTTGGAGGCCACCGGAGAGCAAGGCTTGTCTTGGAAACTCTCGAGTTTTATCTCCTGACTGGATTGGAAGGTGTGCTCGGCAGCTGACAGCTGACAGTCACAAATCTGATCAGCAGGATGATGGAGGCAACCACCGGAACGGGAGAGGGCAGGGAAATGTCAGCGTTTGCAAAACACCACGAGGTACAAAGTGAGCTTTTATTGACATGGGCTGTGGTGTCATTTCAGCTACAGCAAAAACAGATCTAAATTCTGGAGGGCTGTGAGAAGGTTTAGCCCCACACAGACCAACAGCAGGGTGGGCACAGCCCCAGGGCAGGGACTGTCCCTGTGCTGGCACTGCTGGGATGGCACCTCCAGTGCTGGGGGCACTTCTGGGACCCTCAGAGAGAGACCTGGAGGGGCTGGAGGGTGTGCAGGGAAGGGAACGGAGCTGGGAAGGGGCTGGAGCAGCAGGAGCAGCTGAGGGAGCTGGGGGGCTCAGCCTGGAGAAAAGGAGGCTCAGGGGGGACCTTCTGGCTCTGCAATCCCTGACAGGAGGGGGGAGCTGGGGGAGGGTCAGGCTCTGCTCCCAGGAACAGGAACAGGAGGAGAGGAGAAGTTTGGGTTGGATATTGGGAAAATTCCCTCCTGGAAAGAGTTTTCCAGCCCTGGCACAGCCGGGTGGAGTCCCCATCCCTGAAGGGATTTAAAGGCTGTGTGGATGTGGCACTTGGGGCAGTGATGGCCTTGGCAGTGCTGGGGAATGCTTGGACTTGGTGATTCCTGCAGCAGGGCCAGGTGGAATCTGGAGGGCCTGTGCTGCCCCACACCAGGACACGGGGAGAGCTCCATGTGCCCATCCTATCCATGTGCCCATCCCATCCGTGTGCCCATCCCATCCGTGTGCCCATCCCATCCGTGTGCCCATCCCATCCGTGTGCCCATCCCATCCATGTGCCCATCCCATCCCAGCCACTGGGGGAGCAGCCCTGGAGCAGCCTGATCTGCCACAGCACACCCATCCCCACCCAGCTTTCCCTTGGTTTGCTTCCCAGGGGTCAGAAGGGCGTTATGGAAAGGCAAAGAAATGGATTTTGCCCCTCAGGTTGTAGGGCTGGATAAAAACCTTGTTGGGCTGCTGGGAGCGCTTCAAGGAAGGAATTGCCCCAGTGGGTAAGAGAGGGGCCAAGGACTCTTCGGGGCCTGGATAAAACCTCACCCTACTTAGCAAGAGGTGGAGGGATGAGGAGACAAATTCCTCCTTTTTTACATCTCTCAGGAAGGCAGGGACACATCCAGAGAGAAATATCCCCCATCAAACCCAGTCCCTCCCAGCTGATCTCCACTCCTCACCCCAGTGGAGCAAAAAGGCAGCCAAGGAGGAGAAGACAAGAAAATATTGCTGGCAACTGAAAAGGTGCCCAAAATTCCAGAGTGCTTTCTTTTTTGTTTTGTGTTTTTTTTTTTTCTTTATAAAATGTACATAAAGAACATAAACCCTTTGAGGTAAAAGTGAGACCAGTTTGTAATTCAACCAGATACAGAAACGACAATGACAAAAAATAAATCTACAGTGGGTGTGCTAGTAAAATAAGAGAGCAGGTTTGGGCTATGTACAATACTTGAGATTGTTAAAATGTAATCCTCAGCTTATGTACATTAAATACATACAATTACAGCTATTTATACCATATTTACAGACACAAACACATTGTTTCCCCCTCTGCAGTTGGTTGTGTGCAAGCAGCTCATCTGATCTTTCCTGAGAAGGTGCTGAGGCTGTTAATTCTTCATTCTGAATTTCTTCAATCTCTTCTGTGGTCAGATCCATCAAAAACAAGTCAAGAGATGGACAGTTGTTGCAGTGATGCCTTTTTCCCCGCCCCCATCTGCAAACCTCCAGCCTGTAGAAGGAGAGGACTTGTTCCATGCAAGGATCCCAGATTCCAAGGGATTGCTGTGGAGATTCCTCCAGTTGTCAGCCACGACCTTAACTGGGAGCAAAGCTACTTTAATGTTCACCCGTCCAACATTCCAGCCTCTTTCTCAGTGGAAATAAAAACCACACAGAGAGTAGAAATGGAAGGAAGTTGGTTGCAAATCACCTGCCACAGGTCCTTGGAAGGCTCCCACACGGTGACATTCCACCATGTCACACAAGAACCAGGCAGGAGGGACCACGCCAGGATGCAGGAGACCCATCTGCAGAGGGAGTGCCAACACAGTGCTCCTGTTCGTGTCTCAGCTCCTTGGCAGGCACCTGAGATGGATTTTCCAATGGTCAGCCTTTGGAAAGGGCTGCCCAGGGAGGTTTGGGGTCCCCATTCCTGGCAGGGTTTCACAGCCCCGTGGATGTGGCCCTTGGGCACAGGGGTCAGTGGTGGCCTCGGCAGTGCTGGGGATGGGTGGGAAGAGCCACCTCCTACTCTCTGAGGTGATTCCCACCCCAAATGAGTCCATGATGATTAGGGTGCTCTCAGTGAGTCACAGACTGTGGCCAATGACTGGGGGATCGTTGGGCTTGGGTGGGTTTGGGTGCTGAGGAGGGAATCACTCCCGTGTGTCCAGAGTTGTTTGTTCTCCAGGGACTCAGCTCAGCTCGTCCTCACTGGAGCACCTGGATTATAACACAGCTGGGAAGGGTCCAAGGCCAGGCTGGACAGGGCTTGGAGCACCCTGGGCTGGTGGAAGGTGTCCCTGCCCAGAGCAGGGGGTGGCACTGGATGGGCTTTGAGGTCCCTTCCCACCCAAACCACTCAAAAATTCCATGGGAGAGCTGGTTTTATTCAAAGAAACCTCAGTGAAACCCCTGAGCCTCGCTCTCCAGAGACTCACAGGGCTAAGTGGGGCGGCAGCTTCCCAGACTTTGGATCTGGTGTTCCTGGGAGGAAATGCAACAAGATTCCCATGATACAAACCTTGGAGTCCAAGCTCTCCAATCTGACAGATAAAAAAGGAAAACTAAACAGTATTTTAATAAGTCACAGCAGGGTGTACAATCCCAAGCTCCCTGTATTTGGGTTAATGATAGCTTGAATTTGTTATTATTTGACTTTTCTGACCCAGAGATACAAATACTGTAAAAAGAAACAGCCAAAAAGGGGGACCTGGAGCCGTCAGGGGGTACAGAGGGACAGGACTTCAATACCAGAAAGGGATAAACAGGAATAAACGATGCTAAACAGGTACCAAGAATGGAGTTTTTTGACAAATATCCCCACAGCAAGGTCTTGCAACAGCCTTACAGTCAGTGTAGAGGGCAAAACCCAAACACATCCCCTCATTGTGCCTTTAAATTGGTTTTAATTGGATTAATTTGCGAGGTCGGTGGGTGCTGCCAGCAGCACATCCCTCCCATCCCAAATCCCACCAGCACCTACACTAAGGCACATTCCCAGGGCATTTATGGGGTGACACCAGCCAGGGCTTTAGGGAAAGGTGACCTAAAACTTGAGAGCTCTGCAAGTCCCACGACTGCAGGATTGCATGTGCTGTAGGTCCCGAAATTCCTTTGCCCAAGGGAGAATGAAATGGTTGAATTCCCTCCTTCCTGCCTGGCTCTGCCATTGTGGAGCTGTAAATGCTCCTGCAGCGCTGCTTTTTTTTGCAAAAATTAAGAAGAAAGGGGAAAAAAAAGAATTTGAAATGTAAAAATAACCTTTTTATAGCTTTTTATAGTTTTATGGGAAAATCCAAGAATTAATCCAGATGGCACCCAATCTCTTTATTAGCACAGAGAGGCAGAGAGTGCTTAAAATACCAAACTGTATCTTATTTTTATTGAACTGCTCTAAAGAGCCGTTTTCCTGATGGATCACAGCTCTTCTTGGGGAGGAAGAGAGTTTCAATTCCCCTTCAACACATGAAAAAACATCCCCAGTGAGTAAACCCTCCAAAAATAAACCCAGGGAAGCCTCTTCCACTTTTTTCCATGGGAAAAAAAAGCCTGATCCTTCTGCCTTAAACTCCTCAGCACAAAGGGATTTCACTGCCCTTACAGGGAAATGAGGAAAAAAAAAAATCTTAAACTTTGTTTTAAAGTTTGGGGATCCCAATCACCCCCAAAAGGTGATTCTTTGAATGGGGCAGAGGTTCCAGTGCTGGATGGCAAGAAGGAAAGCTCTGGCAGGACTCGTGGTGGGCTGGAAGGTGCAGCTCCATCTCCTTGGGGTGAACCAGCAGCTCCTCTCCCAAAGGAAGGGGAAATTCCACATGTTCAGTATTTGATGTCCAGTTTAAAACTACACCAGAGACATTATTAGAGGGGATAACCCCGAACTGGGTCAGAGGGTTTTCAAATTTCCCAGGAGACCTTCCAGTTCCAACTCCCTTTGTCCGATTGCTGGTCCAAACCCCTTACAAATGCTGCATCCATTTTCACCACAAAATGAACAAATAAAATAAAAAGCAAGTCTAGGGAATGCATAGCTCCATTTGTTCTTCTTATTCGTGGCCTGGAGTAAAATCCCACTGCCCTTTCCAGTGGTTTATATTGGGAATGTGGAGGAAGATAACGCTGCTCCTAAGTCAACACTGGAGAGAGAAAAGCAGCTTTTCTTTGCACCTTCTGCCCCCAGGCAGAGTAAAAGTGGAAAAAGGATGGGAAATAAATTCCCTTTCACTCAAAGACCTGGGCTTTTCAGGACAAACAGATTATCCTGCCCTGGAAGAAGATGTCTGTGGTCTTTGGCTGTCGATCAAAACCCTTTATCCAACAGAACATGAGTGAGGGAAAGAAAAAATCAGCACGGAAAGAGGGACCAGGGATTTCAGCCTGGAGCCTCAGCTTGGGATCTACACAAGCAACCAGGATCTCCATTCCCTTATCTTCAGGCTGTCTCTGCTCAGCTGAGGACACTGCAGGGCACTTCCCAAGCCTCCCTTCCCATGGAGTCACACCCTCACCAGCAGCTCTGCCCGGTGCTCGGAACACTCTTCTCCTGGTCCCTGCTGGGCGATGGCATCCAAGGTGCAGTTCATCTGGAGTCTATTTCTGGGAAACCAGGCAGATACTTCGAAGGAAATGGGATGTTTCACCTGCTCCTTCAACCTGGTTTCATGGAAAGCATCCCCTCCTGTAGAGGGGGGTGGAACGAGATGAGCTGTAAGGTCTCCTCCAATCCAAACCATTCTGGGAATCTGGGATTCTGTGAAAATGATTGACAGGTTGCCACTCTTTTTTTCCATAGTCCAGGAATATTCCAGGCTCAGGACAGTGAAGTTGTGCATCATAAAACCCAGCAGGACCGGGGCTGCCAGTGTGGCCAAGCGAGAGCACTCGTGCCCATCCCCACCCAGGCTGTGGGACCTCCTGCAGTGCCTGCTGAGGCTCCGGCCTGGAGCATCCCTGCAGTGCTGCTCCTGCCAGAAAACGAGGGAAAAAGGAGCCACCCACATCACACATGGGCAGAGGCAGGATGAGAAATGCAAGAGGAGAACGAATCCACTTCTGTCAGGGCTCCCGGTGCCCTCAGGCAAAGCCAGACCCTTCCAGAGGCCCAAAGTGCCTCCAGAGGAGCCTCCTGGACCATCCATCAGTTCTGTGGCTTTCCCAGGACATCAGCAGGAGGAGACACATCCAGGCTTGGATTCCACACGCCCTGAGTAATGAGCCAACAACTCAAAAATCTGCATCAGGGTCTCACCATACCTGACTTGGTCCTCCATCCATCCATCCATCCATCCACCAGCAAAATCCGGTGCTTCCAACTGGGAGTTTGGTGGTTTGTGTTTTTAAGGGTGCCAGATCCCACAGTCCATCCAAACCAGAGCTCCCACCATCTTCCAGACACCACAAAGTGCCTACAAACCCGGGAGCCAATATCCTGGGAAAGCTGCAGCCCCCCAGCATCACCAGTATGGACCACTACACCTTCAGACACCACCAGTTTACGAAGGCACAGCCCCGGCCAGGCCATTTTGGGGCTCACTGCTCAACAAACACACACACCACTTGTCATAACCTTACCTGGAAAGAGGCTTTATTGAACAGCTGTAAAATTATCTCTTCAGTTGAATTACTGAATTTGCACAAACATTTCTCTACAGAATAAAAAAAAAAAATCAAGCCTTGTCATTGTTTTACTGCATCTCGTTGTGCTTTTTATACTCATATTTGCAAATATTCTCCTCGTTTGTTTGTTTTCACGTTTTTACTCCAATTTATTTGCATATCAGGTGTTGGGGTTTTTTTTCAATCCTAGGGTGTCGAGAGAACACAGAATAATAATAATAATTATAATAATTATAATAATAATACTCTCCCTTAGACAAAAGTCCTCTTTTTCTTTTTTCCTTTTTTTTTTCTCTCTTTTTTTTTTTTTTTTTTTTAAATGAAGTTAAAAGCTGAGATAATTTAAGGAAAAAGGTCTTCAAATTGTCATAACCAACTGGAAGGGAACTTCTTTACAATGCAGTGGAAAACCGGCTGGCTAACGGCACGCGTTGGGGCGGCTCCAACCCACGCTGTTGTTGGGTGTTTTGTTGTTTTTTTTTTCCTTGTAAAAGTGGGAATTTTTTTTTATTTTTGAAAATTTTTTTAACCTTTTTTTGTCTCTCTTTTTTTTTAATTTTGCTACAATAACAAAAAATAACCTCTGGTGCCCAGCGCCGAGCGTGGCCCGGGGGGGCGGCACAGCCCCCTCGGCGCATCGAGCTTGGCGGTTCCTCGCGGCGGGGGGAGCTTTGGGAACCTTCCCCCCTCTCCCCACGACTCCCCCTCGTCCCGTGGAGGGCGGCAGCGAGGAAATCCCCCCCGTGTCTCCCCACCTGCTGCGCTCAGCGTGCGTCTCAGCAGCCTCACCCGCCGGAGAACCCCAAAACGGAGGAGGGAAAAGCGCTGCTCCCGTGCCCGGGCCCCACGGGAGGTGTTTGCCCACGCAGGAGAAGCTGAAAGGCCGTGGCCTTCTGGGAGGTCACACCAACAAATCCCTCATCCCAAAGAGGGCTCAGGCAGCAGCTTTGAGGTCCATCCCATCCATCCAGCCATCCGTCCATCCATCCGTCCGTCCATCCCCGGGAGCGGCTCCGTCTCTCCTTGCCCTGCACACCCAGGCTCCGTAGCTTGTTTAGAAAAGAGTTTGCACAACCCACGTTTTTACAGCAGTGCGAGCTTCCTTCTGAAACCATCATTCTTCTGACATTTATATCTCTTTTTTTTTTTTTTTAACATTTTTAAATATATTTCGCGTTTGTTTGTGTTTTTTTTATTTTTATAATATTTTTTCCCTTTTTTTTTTTTTTTTTTTTTTACATCAGGCTTGTTTCATTGAAGGCACTTGGTTTCCATGGCAATTTATAAAAGACGGTGGTTTGGTTTCTTCCCTTCGTCGTCGGCTCGGATGACTCGGGCGGGGGGAGGAGGGGAGAGGAGGGGGCGAGGTGGCCGCAAGCAAACTCCAAAAAGCCCGTGAAACGTGTAAGCCCAGGAGGGGGCACATCCCGGCTGGGAAATGCATGCAAAGAGGAGACAGCACACAGTTCTCAAGCAGAGCCATGAGAAATGAAACAGGAACGTCTTAAAACCAGCTCCGATCCCGGGTTATTCCCTAGGGGAGGTGACAGCCAAGAGTAGGAAGGGCCTACGTTTGTTTTAACTCTACACTAAAAACCTTCTGCGAGGGGAAATGAATGCCAGCTCTTCACATACCCTGTTTACAGTGAGGTGTTTCTCTCTCTCTCTCTCTTTCTTTGTTCTTTATTTCCTCTCTCCTTTTTCGTTGTTTTTGGCAGGCCATTAGGTTTCCATGGTAACAAGCAAACTATTCATTTGAAACAAAACCAGCCATGACTTTGTGCTTTGACAAGGGTTTCTATAGCTCTTTGCCCAGAGTTCAACCAGACGATGCTGAATTCATTAGTGACCACAAAAGCACCTGAAGGTCTCTTCCTTCCTCAGGCCAGATCCCGTCCTCACACGTGGCTCGTGGTGAGTTACACTCCCGTGATGCCTTTTATGTCCCCAGTGCTTTCTTAATTACCTCTGTTTGTTTGTTTGTTTTAATTATTTATTTACGTATTTATTTAACTTTCGAGTCAGTCAGTGGAGGAATCTTTGGTAGTTTGTTTTTAAATGTCCATTTTACAAAGACTCTTTCTTCATGCCAGTGCCTGGTGAATCTTTTGTAGCCTCTGCCAGGATAAGGTCACCTCTGATGACTTAAGACAGACATGAGGATGAGAAGTGGGAGGAGTCGTATATGTGATAATGTCCCAACAGCACCTGATCGTAAATCTACAGAAAGAGGGGGAAAAAGGACAATTAAAGAGCTGCCCAGACACACTCAGAACTCTACAAGGCTTAGAAAATTGAGGGCTCAGCCACCACCTCTCAGCTAGATAGGGCAGAGACACCGGGATGAAAATCCACCTGCGCAGTTCCAGTCTGTGCAACGCACACATGGGGGTGGAGGGATGAAAGAAGGTCCACAGGGAATCACAACAGGGATTTTCATCATTTTTATATTCTTTGGGCCCATAAAACAACGTTTTTAATGTTGCTTTATGTGTCTGACTATCTCAAAAGCTGTGGCTGCACAGTCACCTACTGCTCTCTCTGCCCAACACCCTTTCACTGGCATCTCCACTCAGCCAGCATTTTTCCTTCTGAAAAAAGTATTTCCAAGGAAAACATTCCAATTTAAGCCTCTCCAAGCAAACCAGATATTGTTCTCCTGGAAAAAACTGTGGCTGCCCAGCCCAACCCACCGTGGAGAGTCACCCACTGCTCTCCCTGCCCACCACCCACCAGCCTTTCACTGGCATCTCTGCTCAACCACTACCTGAACTAAGTCATTTCCAAGGAAAACACTACAATTTAAGCCTTTCCAACCAAAGCAGATGTTGTTCTCCTGGAAAAAAATTGTGGCTGCCCAGCCCAGCCCAACGTGGAGTCACCCACTGCTCTCTCTGCCCACCATCCACCAGCCTTCCACAGGCCCCTCTGCTCAACCACTACCTGAACTAAGCCACTGCCAAGGAAAACATTCCAATTAAAGCCTGTCCAACCAAACCAGATATTGTTCTCCTGGAAAAGACTCCACTTTGGAAGTAGTCTCAGATAAACAGGCAGCAGGAGGACCTTGCTGCCCCTCCCCTGGAGCAGAACCACTTACTGTTGGCCGGCTGGTCTGATTTCATGCACTCTCCTTCCACAATGGACACGTCATCAATAGCAATGTCCCCTTCGATGCCAGGGCCACGGATCCCCTCAAAGATGAGCTGCAGAGCAAGGAAGAAGAAGAAGGAGAAGATCAGAGGGTGATGAGTGGGAAACCTTCAGGTGTGTTTGCCACAGCACTGAAGCACCTGGAGGGGCTTGGAATGATTTCCAACCACTTTCTGTGGTGCAAAAAAACCACTTCTACCAACCAGAACAAAAAGCACTTTCCTTTGAGTGAAGGCTCCTGTAAGTAACCTCCTTTCATGACAGGGAAGTAAATTCCATGCTGGGATGTACTTTGGCCAGCATGTGATCTTTCAGTGGCTCATCCTCATGTCTGGAAGCTTTGACCCCTTCCAGGAATGCTTTTGTCAGAGGATGTTGTGGTGAATTTTATCAGAGAGAGGGGCAGGGTAGAGATTTTATTCCTCTTTAAGGCTTTAACCCATGCTGAACTGGAATTTTAAGGTCCTATGAACCATTTGCTGTCAAACATCCCTTGCCTGAAACTCAACTGCTATAGCTGGGAAGGGAAATGGAGCCTGTCTGGAGAGGGCTGGCTTGTTGCAAGGTCAAAAATATTATTTATTGTAATGTTCATTATCTGGGGATTATTATTGTACTAAAGAAACAAAGTTCTCTGCTCTCCTCCCATAACCCTGATGTGCTGCTCTCCTGCCACTCTGCTGCTTGAATTATTCTGCAGAAAACTGGACTCATTCTGCCTCTGCTCTCGGCAGCTTCCAACCTGTGTTTGTCCATTAATGCAGTTCCACCAGAGCTGCTGGTTTGAAATGAATCCTTTTCATTGCAAATGCTGAGTCCACACTCAGGGCAGTGGTAGATGGATGCACAGAACTCATGGATGGTGCATGATGTCACCAGACATCACATCCCACATGTGTTTCTCTGCTCTGCCTTTGCCCAGAGGAAAAGGTCCCTCAGCCTTGGCCACGGACACACAGAATCCTGTGGGATCATTCATCCTGTGGGATCATTCAGGTTGGCAAAGAACTCTGATGTGATTGAGTCCAACCATCTCCCAGCACTGCCCAGGCCACCACTGCCCCATGTCCCCAAATGACACATCCAGAGGGCTTTGAAATCCCCCCAGGGCTGGGGACTCACCCCTGCCCTGGGGCAGCCTGTGAAGGGCTGGAGAACCCTTTCCAGGAAGGAATTTCTCCTGATATCCAATTATCTCCTTGTTTTGCCAAGCTGAGCAGCCCCAGAGGTCCCTGACCCTGCAGGTGTGATAAAAGGGGTGCCTTTGCAGCCTCCCTGGGGTGTCCTGAGCCAGGTGACAGAGCTGTGCTGGGAGCACCAAACAACCATAAGGATCCTGCACTGGGAGCAGGACACTCCAGCAGTGTTTTATCACTGTGAGATGCTGCAGGTTAATTACTAAAACAAGGTGGATATCAATGCAACAGGGAATCATGGGGAAAACAGCAAGTTTTTCCATAATTTACCCTGTTGTCTGAAAACACTGTCTCAATTAATTATCCCTCTGACAATTTTTCGACTCTGCCACTGATGATAGGAATTTTCCAGCTCAAGAAGAAGCTCTCTTTCCCCCCCCACCAAAGTACATCTCCTTTTCCTGCTCCTGAGCAGCAGGGACAGCCCCAGTCAACGGGGTTAAAAGTCAAATTTTCCCTGACAATGGAAACCATTGTTTCCAGACAAAAGGACTCTCTACAAAGACAACAGGCAGCATTTAATTAAACTCTGCATTTGGCAGCGTGGTTTGTGGCCCTCAGAGATGGGCTGCCATCAGCCAGCCTGGCCACACACTCAGAACAAACCAGGCAGAGGAGTGTTGGCACAGCACGCAGCAGGAGCTGCCAGATGATCAGAATCCTGTATCAATATCCCCAAAAAACCCCATCATCTGCATGTCTGTGGCTTTACAAAGCTGGCAAAAATACTGCATTTAGCTGGAGAATAGAGGGGCTCAGGGGCACACCAAAGACTTAAGAGGGGGATGGAAATACGACCCTACAAGGCCTGTCCTGAGTGTCCCTGTGGGATTCAGCTCGTGCTTCTTCCCTGGGAGTGTCCAAGGCCAGGCTGGACAGGGCTTGGAGCAACCTGGGCTGGTGGAAGGTGTCCCTGCCCATGGCAGGGGGTGGAACAAGGTGGTTTTTAAGGTCCCTTCCAACCCAAACCATTCCATGATTCTTCCACAGGGCTTCAGACAGATCTTGACCTTCCAGGCCAGGCTCCAAACACGAAGCAGAGGAGCTCCTGTGATGACACAAAAGGTAGCTGGGTCTTGCCTGCTGTGCTCCCCTCCCCCAGCCCTTCTCCCTTTCCCTGCTGGTTCCTGTGGGTTGTCCCACCAGGTGGGTGTTGCAGGAGGAGCTGTCTGGGCTCTCTCATCAGCAGTGAATCCAGAGATGGGGAGCTGAGAGCTTTTGACTGATTTTGAGGCACAGGGACCTGCAGAAGGGGTTGAAACGCTGCTGGACACTGGGATAACTGGGAAAACTGGTCTGCCAGAGGTTCCAGGCAGCTTCTGGGTGGATTCCCCCTGTCAGGGACATCCAGCCCATGGAATACCCTGAGTGGGAATGGATCCACAAAAGGATCATCGAGTTCAACTCCTGTCTCTGCCCAGGACACCCCAGCACTCCCACCCTGTGCCTGAGGCTTTGGTGCTCTGGGACTGGGAATCCTGCAAGGCCCAGCCCTGGAAAGGGGGATGTTCCCAGCCCAGCCTGCTGGGATGATGAACCCTGGGACACAGCCTGGGAATGAACCTGGGACTGAGGGAGCTGAGCCCCACCTGGGCTGCTCTGAGATGGTCAGGGGGTGTCCCTGACCCACCAGGAGGGACCCTGACCTGATGACACCATAATACTGTGTAATTATATATATATATAAAGGAATAAAATTATTATCCAATCATATATAAAATTATATTCTATGTAACTCACATAATATGAGTTATTATTGGCAATATTTAGAGACTGTATCAGCAATAAATCCAATCACAATCATCCACATAATCCCCATATCCTACTGCTCAGCTCTGAACCAAAACTGACCCCTTCCTCTGCTCTCCATATTTTTGGTGCTCATTCCTTAAAAACACTCAAAAAGGGAACATCTGAGACAGATTTATGCAGTCATTTTGGGATTCAAAGCACTGCAGTCCTCCCAGTTCCTCATGACAGAAGCTTTGTTCTTCATCACAGGGACTGAGAAGGTATAAAATCTTTTACCCCTATAAATTAACCTATAAAAAGTTTTAATTTCCATGTCAGTTCACTGTTTTACTGCAAGGATTCACTTCAATTCCCTCTCCTTAAATTTAACTGGGAGGTTTATATTCTTTCCTACTTAGACTCCTAAATGGAAAATAAAGTTTGCTCGATGCAAGAGCTGCTCACAAACGTAATTTAAGGTTCCAAGCACTCTGACATTTATTTGTTATATTTGGGCAGAGCTTCATGGTTTTCCATTCATTTTATGCTGAAGCCTTTAAACACAACAAGGTAAAAGATGAAAAACAGCCAAGGAGAGGAGCTCCACTTGGAGATCCAGGGAGTGACAACGTGGGTTCAAAGCATGCCAGGGAGGTGAACCAGTTGCAGAAGTGACCCCTGGGGTCTCCAGAAGCTCTCTCAGATCCCTCAAATCACTTTGGTTTCAGCTTCCCCAGTCATTTATGGAATCACAGAACCATTAATGGAATCATGGGATGTCCTGAGGTGGAAAGAACCCCCAAGGATCATCCAGTCCAACTCCTAGCCCTGCCCAGGACATCCCAAAAACCCTCCTTCAACATCATCTCCATCAGCCCCCACAGTCAGGGGTCATTAATTAAGTGCTGATCATTAATTGGGGCTGCAGCACAATGAGAGTCTCAGGCTGGGACAGCCCCTGGGCTGGCTCTGAGCTCACACAGAGACTCACAGGGAGCACCAACAGCCCTGCTCAGCTCCAGCACAGCATTCCAAAAGCCACCTCTTCCCTCCCATTTATTATGTTCAGGTAGGAAATCAATTCTCTCTCCTTCACTGTTCAGATTTCCTGGATTTATCCCGACTTCACCAGTGCCAAACTCAACAACTCTGAGCAGCTCCTTGGACTTCACCCCATTTGTGCTTTAATACTCAGATCCCTCCTCTCTGTCCCAATTCTGCCTCTTTCTTCCCCTCAAACGTCACAGAATCCTGGAATGGTTTGGGTTGGAAGGACCTGAAAGCCCATCCAGTGCCACCCCTGCCATGGGCAGGGACACCTTCCACCAGCCCAGGCTGCTCCAACCTGGCCTTGGACACTTCCAGGGATCCAGGGGCAGCCACAGCTTCTCTGGGCAACCTGTGCCAGGGCCTGCCCACCCTCCCAGCCAGCAATTCCTTCCCAATATCCCATCTCTCCCTGCCCTCTGGCAGTGGGAAGCCATTCCCTGTGTGCTGTCCCTCCATCCCTTGTCCCCAGTCCCTCTCCAGCTCTCCTGGAGCCCCTTTATGCCCTGCAAGGGGCTCTCAGGTCTCCCTGGAGCCTTCTCTTCTCCAGGTGAACCCCCCAGCTCTCTATCATGTGTCACTACACTTCACAATTCCCTCCCCTTCAGTTTTCCTCTGACTCCCCTCCATCCAATGCTTTGCAATCCCATGGGCCAAACCACTTCTCTCCTGTCAATGCCTCTCATGCATAAATAAATGTACATTTATTTATAGCTTTTATTTATAAATAATTACACATTTATTTATAAATAAAAACACAGGGTCAGAACCAGGAACTGTCCAGAAGGTGAATCCCAAAGTTCATGTTTATATGGGAGTTTTGACTTGCACTGGGGGACTTTTCCAAGGCCAGGCTGGATGGGGCTTGGAGCACCCTGGGCTGGTGGAAGGTGTCCCTGCCCATGGCAAGGGGTGGCACTGGATGGGCTTTGAGGTCCCTTCCAACCCAAACCAGTCTGGGATTCTGTGGCTGTTTTCCCCAAAACCCTGGAGGTGACAGGGAGGGGACAGAGGACCCATCCCATCACAGGGCTGGTGGCTCCGGCGTTCCACGACCACGCTCCCACCTCTCACACGCAAAGGTTGCTCCCAGCAGCTGCTTTTTTTGGGTCTGCTCCAGTTGCAGACAGCTCTGAGGGTGGATGAGAACTGCCTGTAACAGACTATCAGCATCTCGCTGTCAAACCAAACATGACACGTGTGAGAAGCTGTCAGACAGCTCGCCCGTGCCTCCTTCACGGGGGGCTCTGGGTGGGCAGCACAGAAGCTTTGCTGCCTCCCAGCAAAGGCTCTCAAATCACCCCTCTTTCTGCACAAAACACACTCATTTCCACAGACCTTTAACACAGGCGCTCTGCACGGGCCCTAAATAATTTCTCACAGCGAGCAGTTGAATCTTCTGAAATGAAACCATGTTTTCCACCACCACCAGCCTCTCCTGGAAGCTGAGGGATATTTTGCCTGCAAGCAAAGAGCTGCTGTGCTCTTCGTGGCACTGCTGAGCTCCTGGTGCTCACAGAGCAATTATCTGGACACAAAGCAGCTTTCAGAGGTGAGGAGAAGCTGCGAGAAGCTGGGTCAGAAGGGAAGGGCCAGAGGGCACATTCCCCTCCTCCCAAACCTCCAAAATCGGCTGCTCCCGTTCCCAGAGCTGGAGGTGTTACCTGGAATGAGGTGGGGGGGTTGATGTTCACACGGGCTTGGTTCCAGTGCTGGCCTTTATTCCCACTCGAGGACCACAGGGGGTTCTCTATTGCAGTCTGACCTTTCAGCCTCAGGTAAACGTTCAGGCTTCCTGGAAAACAGGAGATGTGCAGTTGGTCAGGCTGCCCCACGGAAGGTGGGCACAGCAGGGTCCCCTCCTCTCCCCCATTCCCAGTTTTTTCTGGGTCTGAGCAGCTGGGGAGGGTTTCTTGTCATATTTTCAAAACCTTTTCAACTTCCGTTTTTACCTCTCAGTCCTCTCATCTTCATAAGTCCTGGAATGTGTGTCCCATTTAAAGGGGCTGGAAGGGCAGTTGAGATCATAATAATGATTTCTTTATTAGAAGTGGGGTGTTTCTTTGGAAATGAGGCACCAGAAAAGGACATTATTTCTTGAGCTTGGGGGAAATTCAGTGGCCACCAAAAACTCCAGCCAGGAAAAACGCTTGGAGAGGAAGTTGGGCTCATGGTTCAGGTTTTGCCCCATCCCTGGAAGTGTCCAAGGCCAGGCTGGACAGGGCTTGGAACAACCTGGCATAGTGGAAGGTCTCCCTGCCCATATCTAGATGATCTTTAAGGTCCCTTCCAACCCAAACCTTCTAGGATTTTGTGATTCTATGATAAAAACTGTTCAGCTTCCTGTTTCTTCAGCACATCTTTAGGCCCCTGGAGTGCCCCAGAGCCTGGCAGATCTGCCTCAGACATCGATGTGAAGCCCTTACCGCTGCCAAGGAGTATTTCTGAAGGACAACAACGCCCTCTGAGTTAAAATACACTCAGAAAAGTCCTTCACTGTGCAGTAAAACCCCCCAGAGCTGTGTCTTGCCCCACTGCTGACCATGACATTACTGACATTATTTGTTCCTTACAACAGGTAGGAGATTTCATTTATTCATATAGATTTTTCCTTTATCAGGGGTCAATAATTCCCAGAGTTTGGAGATTTTGGTCCTATTTGCCCACTGTTGTTGTTTTCAGATGTGTGGGGCAGCAGTGCCTCTTTGTTCTCTGTAAATCCTGATGTCACACCCAAAATCACTGGTTTGTGGACAGACTTCATCCTCAGGGCCTGTTTTTCTTACACTTTATCCCAACCATTTACTTTACAACCCAAATACTTTATCAGGTGTTCTAGAAACACTCTTGGCCCTTTCGCATTCTGAATTTGCTCTTCATGGTCATCTACCAGAAACGGGCTGGTAGGACCAGAGGGACAGAAAACACCTTGATTTCCTTTGTCAGGGGCCAGCAATTCCCATAATTCTGAGGGTTTGGTCCTATTTGCCCCCTGTTGTTGTTGTTTCCAGACATGTGAGGGTCAGTGGTGCCTCTGTTTGCTCTGTAAATCCTCACACCTCCCTCGATCTGAGAAGGTTCAGGCAGTCCAGCTCACACAAGAGCAGGGTTTTGTTTAGGGGGCTTGGCCTGGCAGCTGGGAAGCTCACACAAATATATTTGCAAGGCAAGCCCTCAGCTCAGAGGCAGCTGCACGAGTGACTCAGCTCCTGCTCAGGAGAACTGCTTATTTCCAGCAGGAGCCTTGAAAAACATCAAAAACCCCATGTCATGGAGCAGCAGATATTCACCTCACAGCTCCTTCACCAGGGAGCCTGGAATGAGGCCTCACATCTTCCCTGGGGGAGCTCCCACTGTGGAATTCCAGCTTGGGAATGCAGGGGAGGGGCAGAGGAAAGGAAGAGACCTAAACCAGAAAAGGGTTTGCCAAGGGAACGCTCGGGAGGGTTCCCTGCAGCTCAGGCTGGGGGATGACACAGGGCTGGGCTGGGCTGGAGAGGCTGCTGGGCATCATCCCTCTCCCAAACATTTACATTTATATTTATATTTATATTTATATCTCTATATATTATACTAACTATATTATATTATAATCACAGGATGGTTTGGGTTGGAAGGGACCTTTAAAGATCATCAGTTTGCAATCCCCTGCCATGGGCAGGGACACCTTCCACCAGCCCAGGCTGCTCCAGCCTGGCCTTGGACACTTCCAGGGATACAGGGGCAGCCACAGCTTCTCTGCCCAACCTGTGCCAGGGCCTGCCCACCCTCCCAGCCAGCAATTCCTTCCCAATATCCCATCTAACTCTGCCCTCTGGCAGTGGGAAGCCACTCCCTGTGTCCTGTGACTCCAGGCCCCTGTAAAGATTCTCTCTCCACATTTCCTGTTGGCTTCCTGAGGTCCTGGAGGGTCCCAATTAGGTCTCCCTGGAGCCATCTCTTTTCCAGGTGGACCCCCCTCCAGCTCTCCCAGCCTGAGACACAGGAATAATAACCCTAAAGCTGCTTGGAAACCTTATTGATCCTACAGCAGAGAGATCATCTATTAGATCAGAAATTAGATATTAGGAAGGAATTGCTGGCTGGGAGGGTGGGCAGGCCCTGGCCCAGGTTGCCCAGAGAAGCTGTGGCTGCCCCTGGATCCCTGGAAGTGTCCAAGGCCAGGCTGGAGCAGCCTGGGCTGATGGAAGGTGTCCCTGCCCACGGAACAAGATGAGCTTTAAGATCCTTTCCATACCCAAACCACTCCGTGCTTCTATGACATACAAAGCCTCATTTAGCAGCTCCCACCCTGCTCCTGTGGATAGATCCATGAGCTGGGAATGCCACCAGCTGCCCTGACTGGCACTAAGGAGGACCTTCTACACGCTGGCTGCAAATTTCAGAGCCCAGTGAAGGGTCCAGGCTTCTAAGAGCTCATGATAAAACAGTCAGTCTGTTCCAGCAGTGAGATTTAGAATTATTCACACCGGGGATTAATCCTTAATAAAATCTAACTCTGAAAAAATCTGTTGCAAATTAACTATTTCTCCCAGGCTCACTGAGGCTGGAGGCACCTCTGGAGATCATCCCCTTCAACCCCCTGCTGCAGGCATGGCAGATTAAAGCAGGTTTGCAGGGCCAGGCATAACTGGATTTTGGAAAAAGTGGTTTCTAAGACCACAAACCTTTAAAACCTCACTCCAGCTGTTGCCTCATTGCTACAACTCTTCACAACCCTGTGCTTAAAGCACTGAAATCTTAAGATTGCATCCCTCATTAGGTTTTCCTTTTCATGATCCTCATGGGAACAACATCAGGGACAGATTCCACCTCTGGCCAACCAAAATGGTTTCTGTGTTTGCTGACTTCATCATTTATTTCACGTGTTTCACTTGGTTTTGTCATTCTGAGGGATTCAAATTTCGAATTAAGCAATCAAACACATGGTTGAGGGTGTTAATTCACTATTTTTCTGTCAGTTTGCTCCTTGAAGACAGAATAATGTGTAATTTTATACAAAGGCTGGATGGGGCTCTGAGGAAGCAGTTCTAGTGGAAGCTGTCCCTGCCCATGGCAGGAGGTGGAACAAGATGGGCTTTAAGGTTCCTTTCAAGGGGACCCTTCCTTTTCAACAGGAAAAAGGTGATCTCAGCAAAGAAAGCTAAAGATAGATATTACTGAAAAGGTAATGCAGGAAAAGTACCCCAAATCACACCCAAAATCACTGGTTTGTGGACAGACTTCGTCCTCAGTGCCTGTTTTGCTTATACTTTGTCCCAACCCTTTACTTTAAAACTCAAATACTTTATCAGGTGTTCCAGGAACTCTCTTGGCCCCTTTATGTTCTGAATTTGCTCTTTGTGGTCATATACCAGAAAGAGGCTGGTAGGACCAGAATTTACCAGAATTTGATCAGGAGACGACCAGAATTCGACCCGAATATGACCAGAATGTGACCAGAATTTAACCAAAATGTGACAGGAATTTAAGCAGAATATGACCAGAATTCAACAAGAATCTAACCAAAATACGACCAGAATGCAACCAGAATGTACCCAGAGTACAACAAAAATATGACCAGAATTCAGCCAGAATCTGACCAGAATTTAACAGAATCTGACCAGAATATGACTAAAATTTAACCAGAACTCCACCTGTATATGCCCATATGAAGCAGTTTACATATTTTCCCTAAGCATGTCAGGCTCAATCACTCCCTTCCAATAAAACCTCAGCTCCTGCTGCAACCCAGAGCCAGGAGAATTCCAACCTGGGACCGCATCCACCTTCTCACAGCGCAGGAGAACAGAACAAACCCACAAGTGAACTTGTCTGCTCCGTTTAAAATCCGAGCTCAGCCTGGGGGCAGGAGGAGCTCTGACAGAGCCACCACCAGACTGCTCTGGGAGGATGGGTTTGCCCTTGACATTTATATAAAAATCCACCCAGTCAGGTCAGTTTGACTCTGGAAAGGCTCTTGACACCCCGAGCACCCCACGGTGATTTTGAGGACTCGGAAAAATTGGTTGTCTCCACTTTAGACTTTTATATTTTCCCCCAGGTTTTTTTATTTTTGCTTTCAGACCACGGGAAGAAATGAAAGCTGTGAGTGTTGAAAGAGCTGGGACTAAAAATAGACGTAGAGATACCCCTTGAAAAAAACCAGGGATTTCTACGGCTCGTGAGCAAATCGTTCCTGACTCGGACAGGGGAAAATGAGCTGCTGCAGCACACGGGGAGCCAGCCCGGGAGGAACGTGCTGCTGCCTCCCTGCTCCTCAGTTCAGTCAGGAATGACTCAAAACACTCCTGCACAGCAAGAAAAGCCCTTGCTAACGCCACATTCTGTCTTTCCAGGCTCTGAAATTCCCTGCTCAAAACCTCGCTCCTGCAGGAAATTTCCCAGATATAAGAGGGGCTCCTGTGTGTTCGTGATTAATGGAAATTGGGATTTTGCAGTAATTTGGAAAATTCCCTGCTCATAACCTCTTTCATGTGGGAAGCTCTCCCCAGCTGTCAGAGGGGCTCCTGTGAGTTCCTGATCAGAGGAAATTGGAATTTTGCTACAATTTGGAAAACTCCCTGCTCAAAACCTCACTCAGGTAGGAAACTCTTAACAGATATAAGAGGGGCTCCTGTGTGTTCGTGATTAATGGAAATCGGAATTTTGCAATAATTTGGAAAGTTTCCTACTCAAAACCTCATTCAGGAAACACTTCCCAGCTGTAAAAGGGGCTCCTGTGAGTTCCTGATCAGTGGAAATTGGGATTTTGCAACAATATGGAAAATTCCCTGTTTAATACCTCATTCATGCAGGAAACACTTCCCAGATATAAGAGGGACTCCCGTATGTTCATGATTAATGGAAATTGGAATTTTTCAATAATTCAGAAATTGGAATTTTGCAATAATTTGGAAAATTTCCTACTCGAAACCTGACTCATGCAGGAAACACTTCCCAGCTGCCAGAGGGGCTCCTGTGAGTTCCTGATCAGTGGAAATTGGGATTTTGCAACAATATGGAAAATTCCTTCCTCAAAACCTCATTCATGCAGGAAAAGCTGTAAAAGGAGCTCCTATGAGCTCCTGAATGGTGGAAATTGGGATTTTGCAACAACATGGAAAATTCCCCGTTTAAAACCTCATTCATGTAGGAAACTCTTCCCAGCTCTAAGAGGGGCTTCTGTGAGCTCCTGATCAGTGGAAACTAGAGTTTTGCAATAGTTTGGAAAATCCCCTGTTTAATACCTCATTCACGCAGGAAATGCTTCCCAGATATAAGAGGGCTCCTGTAATGTTCATAATTAATGGAAATTGGAATTTTGCAATAATGTGGAAAACTTCCTACTCGAAACCTGACTCATGCAGCAAACCCTTCCCAGCTGCCAGAGGTGCTCCTGTGAGTTCCTGACCAGTGGAAAGTGGAATTTTGCTACAATTTGGACGCTCTCAGGCCCCTCTTTTAAGTTGCCAGCAGCCCCGGAGGGTGTCGGGACTCCTCCCACGCTTTCCCTTCCCCCAAGAGGCCCCTTTGCCGGTGTTTTCCCGCAGGTCTGTCCCCACAGGTCCCTGGCTTTCTCTCACCTATGTGCTGTCCATACATGTGATAGTAGAAGCTGAAGCAATAGGCCGTGCTGGTGGCTCCGTAGGGGTTTTTGGGAGCGACGCTGAAGACGGGACTGACGAGCCTGGCCTTCTCCCCCTCCAGCCTGGGCCGGGACGTCTCGATGTACATGTAGAAACCTGGGGGGAAAATCCACATGGGAAGCGTTAGGTTGGGATCTCCCACGCCCTCCCAGTGCAGCTCACGGTGGGATTTGATTAATTAACCCAGCAGCTTCGTTAACTTTTCCCACCCATCTGCCACCGCGTGGCTTCTGGGCCGTGTTCCTGCAGGTTTCCTTGCATTCAGCTCGTGTGTTTCCTGCAGCTGATTCAAAATCGCGTTTTCCGTGGAAGCTGAAATCCAAACCGGCAGGTCAGTCCTGGAAAACAACTCCAAACCCATGTAATGTGCTAATGAAAAAGATCTTTATGAGGGGTGTTCAGCCTGCAGTGCCGAGGTGGCAATTTGTCCCTGTGAACAGTGAGTGGGGGTGACTTGTAAAATAAAGGGAAAATATCCCGATGGAAACCTTTCAAGGAATATTTTCCACTGGCCCTGTCAATCGCAACGAAGAAAATATTCATTTATTGTGTTCCTGGACCGTGCAAACCACAGAGGTTCTATTTATTTAACCCACCCGAGTGAATGTGATGCAGGAAGGGTTTTGTTTCCTGTTTGGTTGTGCAAACAGGGGCATAAAATAACCTGAGTTACTGCAGTGTTTGAAAAATTCGGCACAAAGTGCCTGACTTTTCAATGTAAACACAGAGTGCAGTGGAAATCCACGTTAACAGGGGCGAGCAGATGGAAAACTGCACATCTTAACAACACCCAAAGCAAAAATGGGGTGAAAAATCACCTGGTTGTGACAGGCTGAGAGAGTCCAAGTTAGGATTTAAATGACATAGAGCAGAGGAACATTTGCAGATGAGCCAGGAGATCTCCCCAGCAGGCTATAATGTGAAAGGATTCACTTGGAAAATGGCACAACAGAAACAAGGCAAGGTGGTTAATGGCACCATTCCGGGGTGTGCTTTGGGACCTGGCACACACCTCAGCACTGGGAATTTCTTCTGGGAGCCCTTGAAGGATGATTATTCTTGGTGTGACCTCAGAGCACCTTCCAGTACCTGAAAGGGGCTCCAGGAAATCTGGAGAAGGCCATGGGACAAGGCCTGGAGGGACAGGACGAGGGCAGTGGCTGTAAATTGAAGGAGGGCAGGGCTAGATGGGATATTGGGAAGGAGTTCTTGGCTGTGAAGGTGGTGAGGGCCCGGGATGGAATTCCCAGAGAAGCTGTGGCTGCCCCTGGATCCCTGGAAGTGTCCAAGGCCAGGTTGGATGGGGCTTGGAGCAACCTGGGCTGGTGGAAGGTGTCTGGGGTTTGGAAAAGATTGGCCTTAAGGTCCCTTCCAAGCCAGACCATCCTTGGATTCTATAATAAAATACTTTTAAATCCAGGTAAACTTACCACCAACTTTGAGCCTGACCCAGAATAATCCATAAAATACCCCAGCCCAAGGATGCTGAGGCAGCTCTGACTGAAGGTGGGAGCAGAGGGGAGGAACTGGATGGGCTTTGAGGTCCCTTCCAACCCAAACCATCCCACCATTCCACAATCAGCAAAGGGCTGACCTGGCCATCCTGGAGCCCCCCAGGAGCAGCCCTGCTCCCACTGTCAGCCCGGCAGGAGCAGCAGGATCTCACCCACCTTCCTTGGAGCCCGTCCTGTCGGCGTTGGGCCCCGTGTTGGGGGTGTACTTGGTGTCCCTCGTGGCAGTGCTTTGCTTCGTCCAGTCAAAGTTGTCTGTGTCATCTTGAGTGAAGAGGCAAATGTTGCCATCCTCGAAGCCACAGTGGAACTCTCCTGCCAACACAGCAAAGAGCAGGAATTCAGTGGCCAAAGCTGTTCCTCCAGCCCTCGTTAGTTATAATGAACATGTCGGGATGATGCTCAGTAACAGCAAAAAGGAGCATTTGTGAATACAAATACATGTATTTTGATTTTCGATCAGTTTCCAGTGTTTAATGTCATTTTCTTTCGCAGAAACCTCAACAAAACAGAAATCAAACAAAATATCATCCATCTGTGCTGGTGCTACTTGAAATTATATTTAAATCTTATTGCACAGCTCGTCCTCTCGTAGTCAGGTTTATACATGCAGGGTAAACATTTAGACATTTATGTATTTATACAATTTCAGATGCAAAGTTATATATTTATTCAGTTTTAAACACAAATTTTATACACAAATGTACATGTTTATACATTTTAGAGGTGCTGTTTCTTCTTACCCAGCTGCATTTCTAAAAAGCTGGGAAGAACAGGGACCACGTCCATAAAACATGAACCATGGGGGGAAAGTGGGAAATTGATTATTTTTGTTTAGGGATTCAAAGATAAAAATCTAAATATTATCTCCAAGTGGCATTTCCTAAACTATCCTTGATTTCAGTAGGGGTGGGAAAGGAAGTTGGGGCTAAAAGGAGAGCAAAGGAGCTTTAGGATTGACGTGAAGAACAGCCCTAAAAATCAGGACAGTGCAGCACATGGATGCACTGCTCTGGAAAAACATTGGGTTCCCATCACTGGAATACTTTAATCAAACAGAGAAATACCTGGAAAAAAGGTTTAGGTCTATCTGCACCTGTGTGGGCAGGACAGGTGACTGTATCCCATCCTGAGGACACCTCCTGTGCTTCCATCAGCAATTCTGTGCTGGTGGTAAAAGTGCAGGTCTGAAGAATTAAAAGTCACCAAGAAGCCCAGGAAGGATCACTGGGATCCTCTCCTGCATGGAAGAGAGGATCCAGGGAAGTGCTCTGACCTGCTGGGTCACCAGGGGATGAGAAATTCCTCCTGACAGGCATTTAGGAATCAAAATAAATCAAAACTTGGAGGTTCAAGCTCTCCTTTCAGAGCAAAATAAGGGCCCCACGTAGCAAAACCTGCAAAAGCCTAATTTCGTGTGCATGAACAATTCCTGCTGAGTTTGCTCTTCCAGCAAAGCCAATTGATTTATCTGGGAAAAGAAGGAAATCTCCCTTCTCCTGGGAGAAGCAGCTGCCTGCACACAGTGCCAGCCCTGGCCTGTCTGAGAGGGGGGCAATTTATATTCATTGTTCTGAGCAACTCAAACACCCAGCACTGGGGGATTATTTATCTCTGTTACACTGAGAAGGTGGATAAATGTTTGCAGGTTTGGGGGTTTGGGGAACTATAAATCCAAACTATAAATCCACTTAAGCCACTGCAGCTTCCCTGGTAATCAGTGAGGACAGAGGGACCTGGGGCTTAGCTTGGGCTCGTACTGCTAAGCCAGAACCTTGGGCTGAGGCTTAGTTACACTCAGGTGATGGTGCAGGCTTGAAAGTGGGCTGGAAAAAATCCATTCCAAACCACAAAGTGCTTGAGGAATGATTTCCAAGTCTTATTCTGCTGCTGCCTGTCCAAAGAAAGCCAATGGGATCCTGAGGGGCTTTAGGAAGAGGGTTGCCAACAGGTCAGGGAGGGGATCCAGCCCCTCTGCTCAGCCCTGGGAGGCACATCTGGAGTGCTGGGTCCAGCTCTGGGCTCCTCTGGACAAGGAAAACTCGGAGCTCCTGGTGGATGATTCTCCTATGGAGATGATGAAGGAACTGGAGCATCCCTGAGGGAGCTGGGGCTGTTCAGGCTCCAGAGGGGACACCCAGAGGGCACCTCCCCAAGGGCTGGCAGGGCCTGCAGGGAGGGGGCAGAGGATGGCCCAGGCTCTGCTCGGGGGGGCCCAGCAATGGCACAAGAGCCACGGGCAGGAACTGATGCCCAGCAAGTTCCACCTGCACAGGAGGAAGAACTTCTTGGCTGGGCAGGGACCCAGCCCTGAGCAGATTGGCCAGACAGGGGGGAGTCTCCTCCCTGGGGATATTCCAGAGCCCTCTGGACACAATCCATGTGCTCTGGGATGGCCCTGCTGGAGCAGGGAGGTGGCACCAGGTGGGACACTGTGGGCCCTTCCAGCCTGACCCATCCTGGGATCCTGCACCTCTCCAGAACAGTCAGTGTAAAACACAACCCCATAAAACCAAGTTCTCACACAAAGGCAGATCCCAGAAATTCCCTTGGTCATCAGCACCTCAAGGAGATTGATTTGATTTCTCAGTAAATCCTTCATCATTTTTAGATCCTCCAGGAGAATTCCTTTCCTAAAGCACAGTTCCTTACCTGGCAGGGAGGGCTGAGAGCTGGGATTTGGTTATCGCTGGTTGTGTGACAACTACATGATGGGCAGCCAGTATTAGGACCTTGGTTTGGGTCTGGAAACAGGGAATGCTGAATCCTGAATTTTAAGGATTTAAAGGATTTAAATGAAATTTAAAAGTTTTGAGGATTTAAATGATTTCAGGACAAAGGGGCAATGTAAAAAAAATCACTCAGTGGAGGAGCCCCACCAAGAGCGTTGCTGAGGGGAAAGAGCAGCACTGGAGGGCATGGAGTGACAGGACAAGGGAGAAGGGCTTTAAAATGAAGGAGGATAGAGTTAGATGGGATATTGGGAAGGAATTTCTCGCTGAGAGGGTGGTGAGACCCTGGCACAGGTTGCCCAGAGAAGCTGTGGCTGCCCCTGGATCCCTGGAAGTGTCCAAGGCCAGGTTGGAGCACCCTGGGCTGGTGGGAGGTGTCCCTGCCCATAGCAGGGGTGGCACTGGGTGGGCTTTGAGGTCCCACCAATCCAAAGCATCCTGTGATGATTTTATTCTATGATTACATCCCAAATCCCTCCAGAGAGAAGCACGTGAGTAGATGCAGAGCAACATCTCCACCTGTATCCCAGCTCCAGGAAGGGAATGCCAAGACCCTGCCAAAGCTCTTGGAAGACTCCAGGACTCGGGGGAAGCTCCGAACAAGGTGCCAGCTGGGGCCTCTCATCCCCAGGAACACTTTTTACACAACTGGAGTTCCTAAATTCTCTTGGTTTACACTTATTTTGTGCATTTGCTTCCCCCTCCACTCACACAACCCCTTCCTACAGCAGGAAGTTGCTGTTTCTACACAGTGGGATGAAATGAAAAGGCCAGACAGTAAGTGCAGGAGAAAATCCTGACTCCCAGCTCCAGTCCTGCAGCAAAGGGGATCAACACAAAGGATTTTCAGCCATTCAGCAGCTTCTCCACTGCCCCTCCAGCACCTTAAAAGCCTTGGTGTGTCATACCGTGCCCTCAGAGTTTCACTAAGAAATTCCACATCAGCAGAACAAAAGATTTTTTTTTTGTTCAGGTTAAAGAAAAAAAAAATATTCAGGCCAGATGGGGGAAAAAAAAAAAAAGGAGTCAAAGTTTGCCATTTATTTAACAGGCAAACACTGGTTTCATGTGGAATACACTGGGAAAGGTTAGTGCTGAATGTTCTTGGCACTAAACACTCCTTAAAACATGACAGGAGAATAAAAATGGGGAAGAGCTCCTCAGGTTTAACTCAACACTTTTCTTAAGCAAGAAACAGCAGCATTGAAACAGAGTTGGATGGTGTTGATCTGCTCAATTAGCGGGCAGGGGGAAGAACCACCCCTTCCCAAGCACCCAGGGGTGCTCCAGCCACGGCACTAATGATGGTGCTAATTAACATTAATGACAATGGTCAACTTCTGTCAAAGCACGTGGCAGCTCTGGGAGTGGATTCAGGTTATTAATAATTTCACTGCCAAGTAGGGCAAAATCTGACCCTGCTCTCAAGGTGAAACCCTCATTGCACTACGAATTTTTGGCATCTGTTCCATAAAACTCAAGCTGGGTTTGACTCTCCAGCATCAAATCCCTTCCATAATTCACGTGGGACATCCAATTGTACGAGGTTTGAACCCATGTGCAGCCCAAGATTTCCTTCCTGGCAAAGGATTTCACTCAAAAAAAAAAAAAAAATCTTTGGGGACAACAAGCAGAGCCAAATTTTGCCCTGTGTTTGGTCAGCTGGAAGGAGCAACCCCGGGTACCCCGTGCTCTGGGTGCACAAACCTTCCCAGCACTCCCTTGAAATCACACAGTCCCGATTTCCAGGGCCAGTCAGATGCCACCCACATTCCACCACGAGCCCACAGGAGCTCCAGAGACATCCTAAAAATTAGTTTGAGATCTTAAAAATCACAGGGCAGCGTGAAGCACTCGGGACTGCAACTCATTTCTTCTTAACATCACAGAGGAGATATCTAATATGTTAATCAGCAAGAGCCTCATCCACTGCTCCTTGAAGTCCATGGGAGTGGTTCCTCCAGCTCCTGGGAGCTTTGAACTAAGCCCTGATTGATTATTAACGTGCTGGACAAGATCTTCTGCAAATAGGTTTAAAATTTACAGAAGAGCTTAGCTGTGGAGTCTGAGATGGAGACAAAGGCTCACACAGCCCAGTCCTGGTCTGATTGTGCTTCCCTACAGGAATAACGGGAGACTGAACCCCACTTCCTAAGTAGGAATATTTTTGGAGTATTAAAATAAAAACTTTAATAGTAAATTATTAATAAATAAATAAACAAAATTTTGGCATATTTTGGCTTATTAAAATGAAGACTCTTGGCAGAATACGCTGTGACAGCAAAACATGAATTCGCTGTGGTGTAGAAGAAAATCATGAAGTAGACAAATGAGGACTGGCAGGAATGGGGTGGTTTTACTGGGATGTCCTAAAGCTCCAGCCCAGTGTCCTGCCTGGGCCATTGGTGGGGATTTGGTGCCCAGGGAAAAGTGGAGGAACAAAGTGTGAGAGGAGCCATTTCCACGCTGTGACATCCCCGTGCCCGAGCACCAGCACATCACTGCAGACAGAGTTTGAGTTCCCAGTCCTGCCTGAGATGTTTCCTGAGAGTTTGGGGAGCCCCAAGTTCCACTCTTGGTCTCCACATCTGACTGTGCAGTGAGGTCCCAGGCTCCTCTGTGCTCTGTGTGAAACAACACCCTTCTTTTTGTCTCAGAGCTGCAGATGAGCACTGACCGCCCCTGAAGGCACGAGAGCAACTCAAGAACCACAAGAGGAGGCTCAGGGTGACCTGAGAGCCCCTTCCAGGGCCTGAAGGGGCTCCAGGAAAGCTGGAGAGGGATTTGGGATAAGGAAAGAGGGACAGAACCTTGAGCTGAAAAGGGGTAGATTTAGATCAGATATTGGGCAGGAATTGCTGGCTGGGAGGGTGGGCAGGCCCTGGCACAGGTTGGGCAGAGAAGCTGTGGCTGCCCCTGAATCCCTGGAAGTGTCCAAGGCCAGGTTGGAGCACCCTGGGCTAGGGGAAGGTGTCCCTGCCCATGGCAGGGTGGTTTAGTTGCTCTCACAGAACTTCCCTTCCTTTATCCCCCTGATGGGAGCAGAGGAATGACAAATGACACCCTCAGCTGCCAGCCCAGCTCTGCCACAGCACTAAAGCAGTTCCTGCCATCCACGGGATGCAACTGAGAGGGAAATACTTATAATTTACTTTTTAAATGCAAGGACAGCTCTTCACACACGTGAAAGATAAAAGGATAAAGAAATACTCACGTAGATGAGGATTCACCGGAGCTGCAAAACAAAGCAAAAATAAAATGAGCAGAAAGAAAAAAATCTGATTCCTCAAAACACAGATTATCCTAAATTTCCTGTTGTTCCCTTCCCCATAGCAGGGGTGGAATGAGATGGGCTTTAAGGTCCCACCCAACTCAAGCCCTTCCTGGGTTCTGTGATAAAGGGATGAGCAGAAACAAGTGAGGTGTTCAGCTGCTCTGCTTGGTAACCACTGGAAACTGGTTTATTGTGGTAATTACAACCAGCAGCTGGGTTAATCAAGATCAAAATCCACACCCCTGAGCACCTGGCTGGCACAGGAAAAGCAACATTATCTGCAAATATCGGTGCTTCACATGGACAAGACTTATTTCCTCCCATTACAGCAATTATTCTCCCTTACTTTTGATAATGCTGGATCAGACTGGAAATGAGTGTCAGTGCAAACTTATAAATATTATCATTTAGGCACTGTTTGGTACCAGTTTCTTTTTCTGGGGCTAGAAACAGGATGATGATGATGATAATAATAACAACAGCAGTCAATAATAACCACAAATATATACTTTTCTTTCATCCAGAATCTGGGCTGTGACTAAAACTCATATGAAAACAAGCGAGCTGGACCACAAAGCAACTGCTCACCATCATCTGTGGATAGAAATCATCATCATCATCATCATCATCATCATCATCATCATCATCATCAGTGTGACAGGGACAGCACCCAGGGAAGGGCTGGAGCTGTGCCAGGGCAGGCTCAGGTTGGATCTCAGGACAAGGCTCTTCCCCCAGGGGGTGGTTGGCACTGAACAGGCTCCCCAGGGCAGTGGGCACAGCCCCAAGGCTGCCAGAGCTCCAGGAGGGTTGGGATGATCCTCTGGGGCACAGGGGGGATTGTTGGGGTGTCCTGGGCAGGGCCAGGGGTTGGACTGGGTGATCCCTGTAGGTCCCTTCCCACTCAGGATATTCCATGATTCCATGATCTACCAGCTGCTGTTGCAAGAGGCCAACTCTCCATCCCATCAGAGTATGAACATCACCATCACTGACATTTTTTTAACATTTAAAATAAACTATTATTAACATAAGGGAGTTAACACAACCTCTTCAATCACTGGTGAGCTTTAAAAATATTTAAGTGCACATCAAAAAAAAATCAGCTTTAGTGTTTCCACCTCACACACTGAAGTTTTAATGAGGCTTTACAGGCAGATCACATCAAACAGCTGACACGGATTGACATAAAGTGACGGAGATGACGTTGAAACTGCTACTCCAGGATGTACCTGCTGTTACTCTGAGCCATCTCTGCTTTGAATTACCCTCCAAAACGCTGATTAGAGCTCCTCCAGCTGCCCTGCTTGTGTTTCCTTGACAGACTGTGCTCACAGCACAGTAACACATGGAGCTCCCGAAGAATTTGCCAAGTGATGTTTGGCTGGGATTATCAGTGTCACTCCCACTGTGAGAATTGCTCTTTTCTCCCGTCCTTCCATGTGCAGAGCAGAGAATAATTCATGGTTGGCTCGGGATTTGCCTGGGAAATCCCTGTGCCACGGGTGGAGTTTTTGATTCACGGCACTGGAAGCTGCAGAGGTTTTATTTTGTATTTACAGCTCCTGCTTGGGATGGCAGGAGATGCACCAAAAACTAATTACTGAGGTTTCCCTGCTTTAATAGTCTCCCTGTTTGGGGAATTCAGGTGGGCAAAGCATCGGGAGCTGTTATTTCTCTGTGTTATTTTTATACATCAGCAACTTCCGTGGTCATTTCCAAATTTTCAAGGCAATTTCACATCCGAAGCTGTGTGACCCCATAAACCTGAGCTCACAGGTAGGATTCATGTGGCTTTACTTAAGTGGTCTACAGGCTAAGACACCTCATCTTAAAGTGTAACTGGAGCAGTTTTAAAGCCACTGGAGGGATATGGGCACGTCCAGAGGGTGGAAAAAACCTGGAGAAGCCTTTTCCTTTTGAATAAGCAACAAACACAATGAACGCTCCAGAAATGTCCTGTTGATCCTTCCACACTTCATAATGGCCCTACAGAAATCACTTCTGTGTGGCACCGACTCCAGTTCATCCTCCTTAAGCTGTCAGAGTAAAACCTGGGCAGTGCACGGTCCATTTATCCTCAATTTGCTCAGAAATCAGGCTTGGCTGGGAAAGTGAATGCATTTCTTCAATGCAAAAGCCACATTTGTAGCCTCTCTCATCACACAGTGTCTGATCTGCTTTCCCCACAGGCTGCATTTCCTCAAGATGGGGTGAAATCCTATTAGGCTGCCGAGAGTTCCAAGAAAAACGAGGCAAAAAAAGATGTTTGCGGTGGGAATCCTCAAAAAATACCAATCCACCAGGGCATTTCAAACCTGATAAATGAACCTTCTCACCCCGAGGGTGATGGAGCAACAAAAAGGCTGCACAGAGAGGCTGGGAAGTCTCCAAGGCCAGGTTGGGTGGAGCTTGGAACGACCTGGTCCAGTGGAAGGTGGGCAGAGATTTGGAAGAAGATGGTCATTAAAACCCTTTAACCCAATCCATTATGGATTCCAGGATTCTGTGACAATTCCCTGGGTCCTGGCTCTCCAAAAAGAGAATTCCTGAAGGGGTGGGGCGAGGAAGGAGGAGTGGCACTGCTGGAGGCCAGTCCTGCAGTGCTGCTCCAAACTGAACACGCAGGGACACACTCGCCCCAAATCCCACTGAACACAGGAAAATTCAAATGCTGCCCTCCTGGCCTGAGGTCTCACAACTTAAAAAAAGTGGATAATGGGAGAAAAATGTAAAAAAAAAGCTCTTAATTCTTTTCAGGAACATTCTCCTGCTGCCTTTTGTTGCCTGGACAGGATGACTCCTCACACTGCTGTGGGTCAGGTGCTGTGCATCCCCCCAGCCCACTGACTGCTTCTCTAAGATTCCAGCTTTTCAGCTGATAACCACTGGATTTGCCCTATGATAAGGTGTGTGAGATCATTATTTTCCAGCTGGAGCCATAGCACCCATAACCCAGCCTGGGAACACTTTGCTGGCACCACTCAGGGAGGGAAAAATGGGGATTTTAAGCACACAAAGCTTCAGTGGCTCTGGGATCCCTCCTCAAAGGGAAGTCACCGTGGGTTTCACTCTTTGGGGAGCATCTGGCTCAGGATTTGTGAAGCTGGGAATTTGTCAGCACCAAAAGCAGCCTCTTCACCCCTCCTGGGTGTCTGGGTTTGGTGTTGGCACCTCCTCAGCACAGGGTGCTGTTCACATCTGCACCGGGGGCAGGGAGCAGCAGAGACATTTGCAGGAGACAAAACACGCCTTTTATGCTGCATGGGAATGTTCTTCCTGCCAGGCAGGGGCTGGAAACGGGAATCACAGCGTGTTGCAGTGAAACCTCCAGCTCAGACCTCAATCGACCTCCGGAGAGCTGCCCAAATACTGACACCACCAGGAAGGAGCTGCAGGGACTGAGGCACCAAAAGGGCAGGTTTTCCCTCCTTATGGGAGCACTGGTCAGGGCATAAGGCATGGGGGGAATTTTGGGGTCCATGGGAGAGGGCAGTGGCTGCTTGTGAGGGCACAATCACCCCCATCACAGCCAGCAGGGAGAATTCAGGTTTGCTGCAGAGAAACCCCAAATATCTGGGTGAAGCTCCTGTTCCCAACTTTTGGGAAGGCTCTGAGTCTTTCCCTTGTGTGTGTGCAAAGGGACCAGACTCCCACCAGTGTCAGGAGACAGGGACTGATTAGTGCAGAGGGGTCCAACAAGGAGCCAAAGTCCCACAGGCACCGCAGCAGAGCCTCCATCTTCTCCTCATTTTTGTGTCCATAGATTTAAAACCAAGTCATCCTTGTTTCTCCTGTTTATTCCCATCCCTGGAAGTTTCCAAGACCAGGTTGGACAGGGCTTGGAGCACCCTGGGCTAGTGGAAGGTGTCCCTGCCCACGGCAGAGGATGGAATGGGATGAGCCTTGAGTCCCTTCCAGCCCAAACCATTCCATGAGTTTGTTATTCCAAGTCCTTTCTTTAGCTGAGGTTTTGCCCTCGGGAGCTCTGGGAAATGTGGACTTTGCAAGCACTTTCCTGTGGCAGGTGGAACCTGAGAATCCCCCATTTCCATCAGCAGCAGATGTGGCACTCAGTGAAATGGGCCCCTCCATCCTTTACAATCGGTATTTGAGAGGCCTTCATGTGATTTTTTTTTTCCCCTTGACATTAAAACAGTGATAAAAATAACTGATGGTGAGATGGAGGAGGGCTGAGCTCATCACTGATCACGAAGAGTTGCAATGGGATGCACCAGACATTCCATTTTTTTTTAGCTTTGTTCACTCTTTTGTCCAGTAGTGATTTTGGAAAGCAAGTCTTGATGTGTAGGTTGGTTTTGGGTCTTCTGCTGAGTGGGATGTCCTGCTTTGGGCTCTCTGGGAGCACTAATCAGTGCTGGATCCAGCTCCTGGAGCTACACTTGGCCTGTGCCCACAGGGCTTTTTCCCTGTGGAACTGGCAGCATTCCTCATGAAAGAATCATGGAATGGTTTGGGTTGGAAGGGACCTTAAATCCCATCCAGTTCCACACCCTGAGAAATCTCCTCTCCAAGGTACCTCCTGCCCTTCATTGCACTTTTTACAGCAGGAAAACAAACAAACAAAAGAGTCAGTTATTCATTAAATAAATACCCTGAGAAAGGTACTTTGAGGGGCTTAACAGAGAAATTCATTCCTGGGAATACTGGGAGACTGCATGGAAGGATGTCCAGAAACTCTCTTTTTCTTGTCAGATTCAAGTGGACAAACCTTTGGGATTTGTAACCTTTCAGAGGAAAATGAGTAAATGCCCTTTGTGTTAGATATCATATAAATTTATACATTACAGAAACTTGCATGGGACTAGAAACAGTCAGCTTTTTAAAAGAACACAATTCACAGTAAAATAATTCACAGTAAAATAATTCACAGTAAAATAAAACCTTCTTCCTAGTGCTCGTTCTGAGGGGAAAAAAAAGGCATTTTGATATCACAACACTGTTTTGACAACTACAGACTGTTTGTTTTGTGGATTTTTCTTCAAAATGCATCATCCTTCAAAGAGTTCCAAGTAAGAACCAACTCGAAACGAGCTATTAGAAATCAACACTAATTTACTCTATTTTTCCCTTTATTTCACAAAAAAATTGGCTATGATTTTGCATTTTGTCTGTTCAAATGTTTTCTGGCTGTTTGTTTTTTGTTGTTATGAACCTTCCCAGTGGTGAAGGCTTTAATTTCTACCCAGTTCTACCCCGCCCCTCCTTCCTGGATGATGGTTGATGGATTATTTCGGGATTGGGAACGTTCAGCCCCAACAAAACACCACCAAAACGCTCCCCTTGCACGCCCAAAGTTCTTACCACTGTATTTGATGACCCGAATCGTGGAGTCCCCCTCCCCAAATCTGGTGATGGGTGTCAGTCTGACCTCGTAGGCCTCTGGCTTGATGAGCTCGGTGAGGTTGTAGGTGATCAGCTCTCCCTTCTGGATGTTCCCGTTGACGGAGATCTCCTGCTCCCACCAGCGCTGCTGGCCAGCCTGGAACCAGAGGGACAATTCCAGGGTCACAGGATTTTGGGACAGGTTCTCTCCTCACCTTAGGAACGAGTGGGAACACACACACAGACCTTCAAAGCACCCAGAAGGATTCCAGACACATCAAGACCAAGAACCTCCTCTAAATAACCCACCAGGGCATTTCCAGAGTGAACAGATGACACCAACAACTGGGAATCCATTTTATCCTCCTGTCCTCTCCCCACAGAGGCCCTGCCCCAAGCCTGGCACAGCCCACTGGCACTGGGATGTGCTTTGGAGCAAGAAAAAGGCAGAGCTAACCCAACCCAGGAGGATTTTGGACACTCACCACACAGGGACAGCAAGGGATCATCACCTGGTTTGTGATGGCAACCTAAACACTCCAGAACAAGCTGGGGTATTTTTAAATCCTCACTAAATCCTCGATTTCTTCAAAAATCTCCCCCTTAAGTTTAAAACCCGCTAGTAAAAAATGTTAAATAGCCTTTTTATTTCCTCCCAAAATTGCTGCTCGTTCCAGGGCATCCCATCAGCTTCCCAAGGGTGAATGTTCTCACTCCCAAATGTTTTTCCTTCCAACCTGAGCAGGTAAATGGACTCCCAGGACTTGGATCCCTATTCCCTCCATGATTTTAACACAACATTGGCCAACTGCAAAGGAAAACATGTTTTGTGGGCTGGGAAAGCCCCGATTTCATGGATGGGGAGGTGCCTCCTCATGAGAGCCAACGAGTTTTTGAAGGTAATCAGAGATACAGTTTGATTTCCGACCACTTCTGTTGATGAGTGAGGAAGAAATAAGTCATTAATAACCTTAATGCATAATTACCACCAGTCCCACAGGTGGATGGGTTTCACAGGACAACCAAAGTCAATGCAAAAAAAAAAAGTAAAAAGCAAAGTCAAAAATTGCAATCCACAGATTTTTTGGGGCTAATTCCATGAGCTCCCCATATATTCATGGACAATTATTCCTTAAATTTTGTGATGTTTTATGTTTTTTTTTCTGGTTTCCATGGCAAAAACCCCAGGAATTAGAACAGAACTGGTGGGAAAAGGAAAAAAAAAAAGGTGTTGCTTCCCATGGAGAAATCCCAATATCCAGGAGTGGCTTAGGCTGAAAGGAAAAATCAAATTGTTTTGCTTTCAGAATGGATAAAATATTGGAGCTGTTCTGTTGCTCCTGTTTGGATGGGAGAATTCATGGCTGGTTTTGGGTACTTGTGAATTTGAATCATTAATTATTGGAATTATTTGCTGAAGTCTCTCTGTTTCTGCAGTTGCTGATCCAAAGACAAGGTGTAATAGGGAATATTTTCACAGCTGCTCATTGTAAGGCATCAGAAATAACTCTGGAATCTCAGGAATTGCAGTATTTTGCCACTCTTGGATATCGGGATTTTTTCATAGGAAGCAACACATTTTTTTTCCCCTTGCAATCAACACCAGCTCCTTTCTAATTCCTAATTTTTTTTTGCCATGGAAGCCAGAAAAAAACCCCACAAAACATCACAAAATTGTTGCTTTTTTTGACACCAAACAAACCTTTGCCTGATTTTTCACCTCAGCTGTCAAATAAACAAACAAATAAATAAATAGATAATAAATAAATAAATAAATAAATAAAGGAAATATCCACCCAGTTTTCACCACATTCCACCTTCAAGCTTTTCTCTTTCCACCTGGAAAATAAAGCCATCCATGGAGGATTCGCTCCAGGACATCCCTGTGGGAGCCTTTCCAGCACACTCCCAAATCTGGTGTGAAACACCAACAGCACCCTCAGCTGAAAAATCTGGAAATAATCGAAAATAAATGTAGGAATTGAGCTGAAAAATAGAAAAATAATTGAAAATAAATGTAAGTACTGAGCTGAAAAACACTAAAATAATTGAAAATAAATGTAGGGATTGAGCTGAAAAGTATTAAAATAATCAAAACTAAGTGTAGGATTTGAGCTGAAAAATACTAAAATAATTGAAAATAAATGTAGGAATTGAGCTGAAAAGTATTAAAATAATTGAAGATAAATATAGGAACTGAGCTGAAAAATACTAAAATAATTGAAAATAAATACAGGAATTGAGTTGGAAAATACTAAAAAAATTGAAATTAAATGTAAAGATTAAGCTGATAAATACTAAAATAATCGAAACTACATGTAGGAATTGAGCTGAAAAATACTAAAAGAATTGAAAATAAATGTAGGAATTGAGCTGAAAAACACTAAAAGAATTGAGCTTGTTTATTTGCTGACGCAGCAAAAAGGAAGGTCAGGTCTACACGAGGCTGGAGAACTTTGGAAGCAGCTGGAGGAACACGGATTTTCCAGCATATTTTCAAACCATCATTCTGAGACATGAACAGGAGCACTGGAATGCCCAAGTCAACCCTAAAAATAGGATTTTTATCCCTAAAAGGCCTCAGCACCAAACTGGAGATGCTCTGCAGAGCCAGCTCCCAAGCAGGAGGCTCCCAACGCTCATGGAAGCACCAAGGATCACCCAACCCTTCTGCCTTGGAGATCTGGGCATCCATTCTGGCTCCTTGGATGGGAAAGAGGCAAATCCTCATCCCCCAGTTCCTCAAAATTCCCTGGAGAGCCTCTCCCTGACGTCGAGGCCCTGCTGATCTATACGAAGCGGTTGAGATTGATGCTTCAAAGGCAAAACCCACAAGCAAACACAACCCTAAAACATCTTCTGCACGTCCACTCACCTGGCCAGAGCTGAAATATTAATGAAGAACCAGGATCTGCTTGAAAAGGAATTTTTGAAGGGGGAAAAAAATTCTTGCAATCAAAGGCCTTCGCCTCAAGAATTCTTCCTATCAAAGGCCCTCGGCCTCACCAAGACAAGGATGAAACACAGGGTGGGAAATCTCCTTTGGCCCAGCTGAAACAACAGTTTTCCAGCGGTTTGTGAGGATTTGTGGAGCGTTGAGGGAAAAATGAGCTCTGTTTGTGGAGCATTTATTAAGATGATCGTGGGCCTAAGCTGTAATTAATGCAGCAGACTTATCCAGAGGTAAATCCAGAGGTTTCACTGGGACAAGTCCTTTTTTTCTTGGTTACCTTTTTGAATATTTAGAAACCTCTGTTCCTAAAGCTGAAAAGCAAAAAAAAAAAAAAAGAAACAAACCCAGAAAAGCAAAATATATTTCCCTGACATCAGAGAAAAGGGGCTGTAATTGTGGCAGGATTTTATTGCAGCAGAAAACCCTCGTGCTGTCAAATGAAAGGGGATTTATCCCCTGCCTCCTGCTGAGAAACACTGTGTTCTCTTAAAGACTCGGAAATATAGATTTCTGGAGCTGTTAATCCTATGGGATGATTAAACATTGATTGTTGTATGCACAGATATGTTCATAAAAAATAAACACCCTCAGTCCATTGTACTTGGCCTATCGATCAACCACAAATTTCTTCATTGACTCAACAAGTTGGACAAGCTTCTCTTTAATTAATGACAACTGAATGCAGTGGAAATTAATCCACTGGATACTCCTGGAAAGAAATCTGTGACAGCGTTTAAAGTCATTTCTTTCCGGTTTATAACAACAGCGATTGATTTTCCTTAATAAAATCAGGTTTCTTGTGAAGTTTTAGATATAAAACAGGACTGTTGAGTTCCTGGGAAAATATTCCATTTGTATAACAAAGAGGGAGGACTCCCAGGAAGTGTTTGCCTCATTTCTGCTCTTTTCTCCCCAGTTTTGACCAGCAACATAATCAGAGTTATCTGGTTTGGAACATGAATCTTGTTCCTACCATTAACGTTATTATTTTGTGTTTACCACGTTGTGTAATTGGCTTTTCTGTGATACAAACAAAAACACACAAAAACACACAAAAAAATCCCTTTTTCTCCCCCTTTTTAAAAAAAACCTAAAAATCTCCAAGTCTTTAGTAATTAGGAACTCTGAGTCCAAAGATGAAGAATGTTAGAGAAACAGTTTTTATGAGCTACAAAGTGACAGATGAGTGATTCAGATGTCAGGAGCATCTGTCCATGATCCAAATTTACTGTCTGGTATTTGAAGAGGAAAGAGGCAGCAACACTTCAGGGAAAGTTGCTGTGAGAAAGCTGGAACTCAATGATCCAACAATTAAATATGTAAAACAGCTCAGGTTTTCAAGGCAGAGTGGAAATGTTAACCTAGAGGGAGGGATCCTTTTTTTTGAGAGTAAAATTGAAATATAACACAGATATCTGCTAAAACCTGGTGAACTGGAAGATAAAACACACTGCCCTCTGCTTTTCCATAAATATTTCCACAAACAGATGATAATAAAAACATTGTAAGTGGGGTGTTAGGACACTTCAGTCCATCTGTTAAGTAAATGGTCTTTTAGGATATTTCAGAGCTGGAAGGTTGTTGTGGTTTGTTGGCTTTTAACAACCTTAAACACGGGGACAAAGAAGGCCTGGAGGGACTGCAAAGGGGGAATGGCTTCCACTGCCAGAGGGCAGGGAGAGATGGGAGATTGGGAAGGAATTGCTGGCTGGGAGGGTGGGCAGGCCCTGGCACAGGTTGGGCAGGGAAGCTGTGGCTGCCCCTGGATCCCTGGAAGTGTCCAAGGCCAGGTTGCTCCAAGCTCATCCAACCTGGCCTTGGACACTTCTAGGGTTGTGGCAGCCACAGAGATGGAACATTAATTTGAATTTTCTAATTAAAAGACTGAGCACAACCCAGAAGGGCACTTTAGGAAGATTCCCATTGCCTCAAAAATGGTGTTTTCTTGTTTCTTTTTCACCTGATTCCTCCCCATTATCAGGATCTTGCAGGGGGTGGGACTGGATGGGCTTTAAGGTCCCTTCCAACCCAAACCAGCCTGTGATTCTGGGATTCTTTAATCAGAAAGGCAATAAAATTTATCCCCACTCACTTTATCCTTTATGGCACCGACAGAAACTTCCCTACTCCCCTTCACAGCCAGTGACCAAACGAGCCTCCCAGGAATCCCTGTGCCAAGCACACAACACATACTGGAATCCATC